ATCCGTGTCAGTGTAAATTACTTGTATTTGATGACGACAAAACCTTGTCGAAACGTTGTACATTTGCTGTTATGTTAAAATTATATTAAAGTTTTTCTTCATTACCCATTCAAGCGCCGTCTCCAAGCATTATTAGTCTCAAAATGGGTTCCTCGTCATCGAATATGATATTTGATATCTGTATTATAAAATCTAAAATTACTCATAAACTATATAAACCAAGAATGCACAATACAGATGACATAACAATTCAACAAAATTGTTTTATTTACAGAAATCTAGGCCTTTATAAGGATTATCAACTTCTGTACACCAGATACAATATGCCCGATAATACACTAATATGGACAACAGAAGATTATTCAAAAGGCCTTGCTAGTTAGCATATTGAAATTAAGAGTAAATTTTTAAAATTCATCTGAATGTTTGAATTAATGCTGCAGTAATGTATTACTACAGATCAAAATAACAGCTGACACAAACTAACGATAGGTCTAACGTATTCAATCACATACCTATTTCCAATATTCTGTCGTTATATATAATATTATTTTCAGATTCAGTATAAACAAATAAAATTAGAGCGATAATTTAACTCTTCATATCGTTATTACTGAGATTTCATTAACTAAATAGCATTTAAGTAGAAGTGAAATTCAGAAATCAAGATTTCAACAAATAACCATAATCTGAATTTAAAATAAATACTTTGCCACTTTATACGTCTGACGTTGAGTGTCGAAGAATGTGATTGAATATGTAACTTTTTATCTTAAAGTAATAAGAAGTACGTTTCTTTTAACAAAAAATATATTTAGTAATGTGTAAATACGAGGAATAAATACCTGGTGTACTTCATAAAAACATTAAATAACAATCCATTTCTATTATAGTAGTATTAAACAGTCACAACCTGTACTACTACTAACACAAATATACGTTGAATCTTTTCATCTACCTATTTATAACATGATTAAAAATTCATTAGTTATTGGATAATTAGAGTATGTTGAAAAGTTCGTCAAAATTTAACATCTGAACTGGATTTAATAACATTTTACTTTGTACCTCTAGGATTCATCGACGTGTACTCATTTATTGTGATTATGTGGTTTTCTGAGGCCATTTGATAAACAAAAGTCTGGTTAGGAAAAACATATTGTCCTTCCCTCGAAACACTACCCATCGATAATATACATAACTATTTATAATACATTATGACTGGTAAAACATCATTAAAAATAAATTTAGCTTAAAATACTTGTGTTTAAAGATTTGTTTCATTGAAATGTGAATGACAATTGAAAATTTGAAATATCAAAAACAAATACTCTTCAGTTTGAACGTTTCGATTATTATTTTTTTACTACAAAAGGTAAAATACAACTTGCTATTAGAAGAAAAGGAAATTATGTTGAGCAAACGTTGAAAGTCCGAATAAGTTAACTTAAATGTATTTTTAGGCAAAAACAAATATTTTTACATATCCTTTCCTTCGATATTTTAGGAAAAAATATAATATGCATTGCATTGTGGATAACCTTTTTCACAATTGTAAAATAAACATTTAATTTATCTGAAATATGCATAAACTATTACGCTGGTATATGATAAACGAAATCCGTAACTGGGCAATATTTTCATAATCTTTGCAAAATCTACCTATTCCTATAATGTTTAATAATCATTTTTGTTCGAAATATTCTTAGAAATCGTAATGAGAGAATCAGAAACGTTCATTTCTGTCATAGAAATACGTTTGTTTCGCACATGTAGCGCATATTTTCTGTACATTTTTCTTTATTTATTTTTTGTTTTATTAAGCTCATCTCAGTTCTCATTACGTTTTATATCAGTTTAATGGAAGCTGATGGCCCGTATTTACACTCACCAGTCTATGTGAAATTCCTTTTTTGTTTGAAATACCGTGAAGATTATACTGTTGAAAGCAAACCGACTGGTGACTCGCAAAGCGTCAGATGTAACAATCCAAAAGCAATCTTTAGTAAAAATCAACTACAGCACTCATATTTGGTGACCATAACACAGTGGTTAATAAATTAGCATAGGAAAATCAACTCAGAAAAGTTGAAGCATTTGTGAACTAAGAAAGGTTTATATTTTCATTTGAAACCTTTTAATATTTTTGTCGAATATTTTATTTAGCCAGAGCTGAGTAACTGAAATGTCAAATAAACAGTAACAAAATAAAGATAACTAAATTTGACATATTCTACAATGAACGAAAACTCAGTGTAAAACAATCATAGTATAAGTGAGTTAAGATTAAGTATTGTTGAGAATTAAGACAAAACAGAATCAAGGGTTTTCGCTTTCTTTTTAAACAGTCAAGCTATATCAATACATATAGATCGTGGGTGATCTACAGTACATAAGTACCATCACCAGAATAAACAAGAAACATCTTGGCATCTAACATTTTATAATTACCAAATAAATAAAATTATATCTTCCGAAAACCCCAATGTCAGATTAAAAAACAACTGTCCTGTACATAACATCCATTTAACCTTTAAAATAATGATTTAAAGAAAAAAAATTGACAATTTTAATTTATTGATCTGGTTTTTCTCTTCCATTTCTGTTTTTGAAACGACTAGTCAGAGCAGTTTTTATTCAACCTATTTTTCTGGATACAAAATAAACTTTAATAATCTGTGCTTAAATTACAAAGATAAATACTTGAATTGAAAATACACGTATGATACCAGTTTCTTTCGTAAGTTACTTTTATATTTCCTTTTTAATAATTCTGAAACTTCGTTAATCATTTCTATGAAAATTATAAGATTAATCTGAACGTAAATGATATTCAACCATATGTGACATTAATGTATATAACATAATAAAAATTGATGCAGTACTATTTCCGCGGCAGTTACACTGTAAATTAGTTTTGTAATAGTATTTACTTAAATGACAATAATATATTCTTTTCTATTCAATGTTTTTAACTTAATTGTCACAATATCTGGCATTTAGATAACAGAATTACTTTTTGAAAAACGAAATCTTTGTTAACTATATTCATCTACAAATATAACTATCTGAATATTAAATAAAAAACATTGATCAAATTTATTTTTGATAGTATTGTTTGTTCTTATATTTTATTGTTAAAATTTATTACATGGAAAACTGCTGAGGCCAATCGTAGAAGTAATCCTCTTATACTGTACATGTATTCCTATGCCTTCTTTTTTTAGTCTATACTTTAATGGGGTTTACGTCATTCGATTACTGTTGCTTTCCTCATGGTACTCATCCAGCTAATAAAAGAGAGAGAGAGAAAAAAATATAATTATTCAGTAAACGTTTTGAAATAATTTTTAACAAAGTCCTATAATCTTACAATTTCATAAGTAAGTGGATTTGGTGAACTAATGAAAACTTGGCTTCAAGGTAAAGAGAAGAACACCTATAAAGATTTTTCATCTTTCCACACTGAAATTTTCCTCATTTCAGTTTGTTTGTTTGTTTTGAATTTCGCGCAAAGCTACACGAGGGCTATCTGCGCTAGCCGTCCCTAATTTAGCAGTGTAAGGCTAGTCATCACCACCCACCGCCAACTCTTGGGCTACTCTTTTATCAACGAATAGTGGGATTGACCGTCACATTAACTTATGAAACGGTATTCCTAAAATTAGATATGCATATTCAATTACAAAGGCCCACAGTTGGTAAGCGGCAACTTTTTTGAACATACAACGCTAAAATCCGTGTTTCCACTCCTCGTGGTGGACAGAGTGCAAATAACCTATTGTGTAGCTTTGCGATAAAACAAACAAACAATGAACTACGTAGGCAAACCTAACTTTTCGACAGGTGAGTCACAAACAATGAATTTAAACAAGTTTAAGGTTAAGATGAATATTTTTCATAAAGAGCTAGGAACTAAAGTATCAACACTTATTAAAGTGGGTTAAGTAATGCTAAATTATGAGTGTCATTCTCAGCTTCTTGGAAGGTTAACTTTTGTTTAACTCTGATAATTATCAACGTTAATCCTACAGAACAGCAGTGATTACTTCTGAATGTTGTTGCACGCCATTTAAAACTTTTCGTTGTTGTTATTTACTTCACATGACATGTTATCAAAATATTTTTTACAGAGCCTAAATGAGAAAAAGAAAAAGAAAAAATCGCGCTCTGCACTTCACTTATTGGTCATATTCCATTATTCGGTGTGACAAGAGAAGTCCAATAGTTGTCGGTGGGTGGTATTGACTACCTCCTTCCCTTTGTTCTATCACTTCAAAATTAGGGACAGTTAGCGCAGGTAACCCTTATGTAGTTTTGCGCGACATCCAATAAACAAATCTAAACAAGCATTACATTTTATGTTTTTTAAAGGATATTTATTGTATATTAAACAAACTGGATAAAGTTGCAAATTATTGACTTCAAACTCGTCTTTAAACAGTTAATGATTCAATAAAGTTACCTGTCGGCTTCCTGTGGGTTCTCTGCACGAAAAATGACTGGAAGTTGACCTTTATGGGTCAGCTGGAAAAAACATCCAGCATCTTCTTCATTTTCTGGAAGCTGAAGTACAAAGTATCGTTTACTGTTTCATTAATGAAATCTGTTCATTATTAAAAAAAAAATCACCTAAGAAACAGATAACGTAAAAATTACTGTACTTCATTATCTTTGCTACCATCAACTTACATAAAAACTAAGACACTCCTCTTCTGTACAATATAAAACACCTAATACAAAATATATACATCGTAAACTACTAAAACATCCGC